TCTACTCGGCCAAGAATGAGCGTAAATGCACACGTTCAATGCCACAGAGTGGACTCCAATCTAAATAACCTCACAGTTGCACTGTTGTAGACACAACATGTGTGCACGATGCAAATTATGTCTCTTTTAGAGTTTGTGAACTGCAAAAGTATACTTTGGGCTTTATACACAGAAAAGTAAATAAGTTAAGAAGTTATTTATTCCTATATTGTGACACACACACATCTAATTGAAACAGACCTTAAATGAGAAAAAATGTAGGCCTAGGGCTATGCATAATTTCATAAAATGAGAACCAATTTAATCACTGGAAGATTGGTGTTTCTTCTAACAAAATGTTTATGTGTATATATATATATATATATATATATATATATATATATATATATATATATATATATATATATATATACACACACACACACAGGGTCAGGGATAGAACCCAGGTCTCTGGCAAGAGAGGTGAGTGACATAACCACTGAGCTACTGGAAGTTGATGAACTGAAACAACGAAAGGCAATTTGCTACATATACACACATGATACACTCCATATACATATACACACACACACACACACACACACACAATACATCCTATACATACACACTCCATACATATAACCACATGATACATTCTATACATATACAAATATTCTATTTATATACACATCCCAAAACTTATGTACACGATACATTCTATACACATCCGAAACACACGATACAATCTATAGATATGCACAGATGATACACCCTATACATATACACACATATACATACAACACTGAGCTACTACAAATTGATGAACCCAAACAACAGAAGGCAATTTGCTACATACACAGATGATGCACATACTCTCCATACATACGCACACATGATAAACTCTGTACATATAAACACTTGACACAATACACTCCATATATACACACACACACATGTGATGCATTCCTCACAATTCCTGGTTTATTCCAGGATAGAATCCAGATCTCTGGTGTGAGAGGTAAATGGTGCAACTACTGAGCTACCGGAAGCTGATAAACCTGTACAACAAAAGGCAACTTGCTACATATACACATGATACACTCCATACAAATACTCACATGATACATTCTATACATACACATCCCAAACTTATGCACACAATACATTATACACACACACACACACGAACATATACACACGATACACATGCACATGATACACCCTATAAATATACCCACAAATTACATTAGCTTACCTGTTGAAAGGCTGTCATCAAAATACTGAATCCATACATACATACATGGATACAACATACAAATTTTACACATATACACACACACACGTTACATTCCTTACAGGGTCTTGCATAGAACCTCTGGCATGAGAGGTAAATAACATAATAATTGCGCTACCGAAAGTTGATGAACCCAAGCAACGAAAGGCAATTTGCTAAATATACACACACGATACATCCTATACATACACAGTCCATACATATAACCAAATGGTACATTCTATACATATACAAATATTTTATACATATACACATCCCAAACTTATGCACACATGATACATTCTATATATACACACACACACACACACACACACACACGATACATTCTATAGATATGCACACGATACACCCTATACTTATACACACATATACATACAACACTGAGCTACTACAAATTGATGAACCCGAACAACGAAAGGCAACTTGCTACATAAACACACATACACATACACTTCTTACATATACACACATGATACACCCCAAATATATATACACTCCATACATACGCACACATTATACACAAATGATACGATAAACTCCATACATATACACATACTCACATAATACATTCTTTACATACACAAATATTCTATACACATACACAAAACACTCCATATGCACACATGACAAATTCTATAGATATGCACACATAAACATGCAAAAGATACACCCTATACATATACCCACAAATTACAATAGCTTATTACTAAGCTGTTACCAAAATAGTGAATCCATACATACACACAAGACACGTTCCTTCCAAGATCTGGGATAGAACCCAGGTCTCTGGTGTGAGAGATAAATGACTGAACCACTGAGCTAACGGAAGTTGATCAAGCCAAACAACGAAAGGCAATTTGTTACATATACACATCCCAAACTTATGCATATGGTACCTTACATACACACACACAGACACACACACACGATACATTATATATATATATATATATATATATATATATATATATATATATATATATATATATATATGTATGTAAATGTGTGTGTGTGTGTGTGTGTGTGTGTGTGTGTGTGTGTGTATATATGCATGATACATTCTATAGATATGCATACACTCCATACTCATACACACAATACATTCTAAACACATACACACACGATACATTCTGTACATACATACACACACACGATACATTCTATAGATATGCACACATGATACACCCTATACATACAAATTCACATACAAATATACAAATATGACCATTTGTAACGCCAGAGACCTGGGTTCTATTGCAGACCCTGTGAGGAAGTATCATGTATGTGTATTAGTATAAAATGTATATGTTTGGATTCATTATTTTTTGACAGCCTTTCAACAGCTTAGTAGTAAGCTAATGTAATTTGTGGGTATATGTATGCATACACTTCATATGCATGGAGTGTGTCATGTGTGTGTATGTAGCAAGTTGCCTGTCTTTTTTTGTGTTCACCAACTTCTGGTAGCTCAGTGGTTACGTCTCTCACGACAGAGACCTGGGTTCTATCCCAGACCTTGTAAGGAAAGTATCATATGTGTGTATATGTATAGAGTGTATTGCATATGTATGTGTATGTATAGAGTGTATTGCATATGTATGTGTATAAAAAGTATCATGTGCGTATATGTATAGAATGTATCATGAGTCCATAAGTATAAAGTGTTTCATATATGTGTATCGTACATGAACATGTATAGTGTGTATGTATGGAGTGTCTCATGTGTGTTTATGTAGCAAGTTGCCTTTCGTTGTTTGGGTTCAACAACTTCCAGTGGCTCAGTGGATATGTCACTCACCTCCAGTGGTGTAAAGTAACTAATTAAAAATACTCAAATTACTGTAACTGAGTAGTGTTTCTCAGGAATTTTATTTACTAAGTAGTTTTATAAATGTGTACTTTTACTCTCACTTGAGTATATTTTTAGTGCAGTACCTTTACTTTTACTCCACTATTTCCCTCTAACCTGCAGTCACTACTTTATTTTTTTCTTGTCTATGGGGATTACAAAAATCAGTCTTGTATTAGTGTGTATATGTATGGAGTGTATATGTAAAGTGTGTCAAGCTTCAACTTCCAGTAGCTCAGTGGGTAAGTGATTTACCTCTCACACCAGAGACCCGGGTTCTATCCCAGACGCTGACTGAAGTGTATTGTGTGGATTGTGTTGTGACAATATATGAAGAATGTATCGTGTGTGTATATATGCAGAGTGTATCATGTGTGTATATGTATTAAGTGTATCATGTGCATTCTGTCAACATCATCATATATACACACACACTCAACTAACTGTATATAAGTTATTAAGAATTTTATTTTGTATGTTTGCAAAAGTGTTATCTGGGAGTTTATGCACACATCAAGTTTACATTTATATGTGAGAGTTTGTGGGTGCATATGCATGGATCGAGTGCCGCGAGTTTAAATGTATGCGTGTGTGTGTGTAAATGTCGGTGTTTATGCGAGAATCGAGTTTATATGTATATGCAAGTGTGTAGTAGTGTGTTTGCATGCTGCGAGTTTATATGTATGTGTGTGTGTGTGTAAATGTGGGTGTTTATACGAGAATCACATAAACATCATACACATATACTCCTTACATATATACACACTCGATACATCCTATACATATACACTCCATGCATATACACATACTCAAGATACAAGATACATTCTATACATATACAATTATTCTAAGTATACCCTCGTATACTCACTTGTTTAGCTGATTTGCTGATCCTGTAACTATTGACTTACATTGACATTCATTTATTTTATTTTCGGCTTAGTCCATTTATTAATCTGGGGTCGCCACAGCGGAATGAACCACCAACTTATCTAGCACATGTTTTATGCAGCAGATGCCCTTCCAGCTACAACCCATCTCTGGGAAACATCCAAACAACTCATTAATACTCATACACTACGGACAATTTAGCCAACCCAATTCACCTGTACCGCATGTCTTTGGACTGTGGGGGAAACCAGAGCACCCAAAGGAAACCCACGCAAATGCAGGGAGAAGATGCAAATTCCACACAGAAGCACCAACTGACCCAGCCGAGGCTTGAACCAGTGACCTTCACTTCCTTCTGTGCCACAGCATTGACATATTTGTTTTTCATTTCATGGAAGTTAATAGATACAGGTAACTGATATTAATGAGTCAAAGAAACATTGACTTTCGTATTTTTTAATTTTTTTATTTTGAGTACTTTCATTTAAAAATTAGGATGGGTGTTATAGTAGGCTACACCAGCCTTTTTAATTTTAGGATTACACCACTGACACTAACCATAATAAAACCATAGTAGACTATTTGTATTAAAATACAAATAAATATATAATATAAGAGTTTAAGAAAGAGTTTTGACATTTTTGACGTTACTGTAACTTCTTGACATGGTAGATTTCAGGTACACTTGCAGATTATGATCGAAGGAAACAATGTTGTGGCACAGATATATATATATATATATATATATATATATATATATATATATATATATATGATGTTGTGGAGTCATTATTCTGTGATAATATCAGACTCTGTAGTAGGCTATCACATTTTTCTGGAAGTTAACTATTATATCCATGAACCATGAATTTATTTTGTAGCCCAAGATGCATCAAGGAATACCATGATACTTTTTGTGATGTTTTCATTTAAAAACGACATTTGTACATAAAAAACGGCAATCGGAACCATTTATCGCTGGATGTTGTTTCACCCGGTGAGCATTTCCGCTGACGGAACTGAATGTGACAGATTGTAAACAGTATCGGGTGAGTCATTTTCCCGTATTAATTAACCGTTTCTCGCGCTTTACATGTGCGCACGTATTATTTTAGCGATTATCTCATTATAACCAAAACATAAACCTGTTATAATCGCCTGGAGGTTAACGCGTTCAGATGACACAAATGTCATTGGCAGATGATGTAGCGGTGTGCTAACTAGCAGCATGAAGTCATCGGCTGAACTGATAAACTCAGCGACTTGTGAATTAAAGCACCAATTATTTTATAAGAAACACGCATGAATGTTAGACTTTGTTCAAACCTAGACATATAATTGAAATTCACGTGTATATTACCTGCTGCTTTCTTGTTTGATTTTAACTGCAAGTAATGTGCCATGGCAGTTCTCACAAGATATGAAATATGATTGTTCATGAATCTTGTCGGTTTAAGTATTTTCTAATGTTTTATCATCTGTAAATAGCTTCTGGTGTAAACAGGCAGATGCATGTAAGAGCAGCATAGCTCGTAGTTTTACATATAGAGGTGAAGTTAGTTTATATTCACACATTCAATCTTTCTCCTTAATAACATAATTTCAAAAAAATATTATTTGCAAATGATTATTTCTAAAAAATTAAATCATACTAGCAGACAATGATTATCAAAGTATAACATTGTTTTAGAGCATCTCAAAATGGCATGGGAAGAGGATCTCGGAGCAGAAATTGAAAATTGGTAATGGGAGGAAGCACATGAAAAAGTTCATTCTAGTTCAGTGTGTATCAGACATGGTTTAATACAATCTAAGATTCTGCACCGACTCCACTTACCTAAATTAAAGCTCTCTTAAGATGTTCCCTGTCATAGACCCACTGTGTGATAGATGCCATCAAACCCAGGCATCGCTTGGTCATATGTTTTGGAGTTGTTCTAAAATTGTTAATTATTGGATTTCAGTATTTGAATTAACATCAGAAGTGGTGGGAAAACAAATATACCCTGGGCCTCTTTTAGCTATATTTGGTATCAGTGATAATTCAGATTTATCTAATAATCAACGTACAGTGATTAGAATTATTACCCTTTTGGCACGTAGATTGATTTTACTAAATTGGAAACTTAAAGATCCTTCATGTTTCTCCACAATAATAACAGATGTCATGTCCTGTCTGGAACTTGAGAAGCTAAGGCTTTCCCTAAAAATAAAACAGAATTTCCAAAGAATTTCCATGTAGTATGGAATCCATTTATTGAGTACTTTAACAAGAGAGCAGTGATTGAACCGTTATTAAAAACACTTCAAATATGTTTGCTTTAATTTTTATTTTTTACTTTTTACTTCTTTTCTTTCTTTTCTTTCTGTTTTTTGCCCCTTCCCCCACATTTCTCAGTTTTTTTTAGTTCTCTTATACATATAGTAACATGATGCTACAACTTTGGGTTTAAAAGGAAAAAAAGCACACACATGTAAAGGTTATCATTTGTACTGATGTAAAACATACAATAAACACTACAATACAATACAATACAAGAACATTGTTTGGAGTCAAGTAAATAGTGCTAATGTTGTTTTGTGATTTCAAGTCGAATATTCAAAGTAAACAATAAAGGGAGCATGTCACAAGTTGTCACTGAACGAATGTCCAATTATAAAACCATCTTTACTTCAATGTTTGACGTATAGTTTTTGCTCATTCAAGCCACATGTACATCAAAATCAAGTTAATGAGCATATGCCTTTGTCTTATACTGCTGGCAACTTTTGCAGACACCATTTTTTTTAGAGATGTACAGTTGTAAGCAGTCTACGTTACTGACAGAGTGTCTTGTCATAAAGTTCTATGATAATATGATTTACGTTAGTGGAGGGTGTAATGTGGTCCGTGTATCATCCGTTCATTTGATTAAGTTATTCCTTTTATTACGGAAAACGAAACATCAGAAAAACGATGAATATTTCGTTTTTCTGTTTATTCTGTAGGCAGAAAAAACGGAAACTCATCTGTTATTCTGCTTATTAACTTAAAACGAAATATTAAAACAAACACAAAACCAAAACGAAATAATGAGTCAAAAAATGGTCCGTGTACGGTCCGTGTACGTTTTGTTCATTTGTTTTCCATTTTCAAACGGAATAAAGGAAATGGAGAAAACGGCCGTTTTTCCGTTTTTCTTTTGCTCACGAAAAAACGAGATTTTGGCTGGATTTTCGTTTTTTGGTTTAGGGCAGGAAAACGGATAAACGACTTTAAAATTCATTTTACACATGTAGGCGGTGCTGAAACGCCCACTTTCCTCTAATTGGTCAACCAAATCTGCGCTCGTGACGTCACCCTCAAAATAAAAGCCTTACACGCAGGCTTTTAATTATTATTATTTAATTATATATTAACTAAGTTTACATATTCTATCATTTGAACCACACACAGTTAGCAGGCTTACATTCATTGCGTATGTATGAATTAAATAAAAACGTAAATCAGCAGTATTCTTAGACATTTGTCATTAAAATAAGGTCATAGTTCACTGCCAAGCTTCTTGCTGCTGTGCACCTGATGCTGAGCAAAGAAAGCCATTTCCGAGGAACACCTGGTTTACATGATTGTTTTAGAGCTATTGTAGGCCTAAATAATAGCCTACTCTGTATAAAATAATAATTTATTATTATTTTTATTATTATTATTTTTATTATTATTATCAATATTATTAGGCCTATTATTATTAGTATTTTTATTATTATTATTTACTTAGTTATTCAATGGTTGTAAGAACACATTGGACCCTGCATGGGGCTATAATAAATGGTACCATTTGTTTCTATTGGATTTTCTCCTATTTTAATTTAATCTATGCCTTTAGCCTATTGTAAATATTTATTTGATAATTAATACTTTTTTATTACAACGTCAAAGTAGGCCTGTCTTATTATTATTATTTTTTGTTATTATTTTGTCGTTGTTGTTGTTATCATTATTGTAGCAGGGACATAGCCACAGGTGTGGCAGAGTGTGCTGGTGCCACCCAAAGTGGCATCTTGCACCTGAAAATAGATGCCTTCGCGCTCAAGCGCGCAAAAAACTTACACAGGCAAAAGTAATGATGAATGTGTTGAAGGAAAAAAAACATTCTAATTATTTGTTAATAAAATAGTGCAACATTATTCTCAGTCAGTGTAGGCTGAAAAAATTAAGATCGCCAGCATTTCAAGGGTGGTTTTGTTTTTAGTTCATTGCTGTGACGCGCTATATTTCACTACGGCTGCATGAGACTGCGCATCTTGCTTATTTTCTCTATTTTACATACAGAACATATCATACAGTCCAGGTTCTACCGTTCTAGTGAGTGTGGGGCATTGCTTTACAGTGGTAAAGTGGATTATTTCTTGGCAAATTCATAATGATTCACTTTGTTTAGTAATAAATTTCATAGTTATAAAATAACTACATTTCAAGAATATGTTAACACTTTCAACTATTTAGGATTATTTATTGCATCAAAAGTAATTTCAAAAGTAACATTAAATGTACGTATAAACTGCTTAATTTGTGTGTGTAAACACCAAAGATGCAAAAATTTTAGACCAGAATAGGCCTACTAAATGCAACGGTCAATGTATGTAAACTTATGACCTAAAATGTCTTAAATGACTAAATTTAAGTCTTTTTAAGTTTTTAAATAATTTAAGTTTAACATAAATGATTTAAACTTTAAACTTCAAATTAACAGAGTATGGCAAATAAATTGTTTATTAAATGGAGGTCAGGTGTCTATCTTAATTATAATTATTAAATATTATGACACTATAATTCAGTGGTGTATTGGAGACGACGCACCTTTTAATTAATTAATTTTAAATAAGTGGTTTATCCTAAATTAAATGCAATGGGATCGGTGTGCAATGAATAGTTTGAAAACCCCTGGTTCAGACTAGACGAGCTAGCTGTCTGTGCGCTGCGCTAATAACTTGGCATTTGCTCTTTTCGGTGCTGCCAGATGCATTTATAGTGCATAAAAAATAAAAAAGGTTATTCGGTAAAGCGCGCGATGCTCGCAGAAATAAGCGCACTATATGCATATGTCGAATTAAGTTCTCTTTTTCTTTAATCAAGACTTTTCCATTCGAGGAATTACAGTTATTAATAGCTTAGTCCTTATAAACGATCAGTTTATAAAATACACAATTTACGGATCAAGCCTAATGAAGAATAAGAAGAATATGCAACGCATTATGATCCTTGAATGATCAGAGCGCATTTATATAAACTATATATTTTATATAATCCATAAATATTAAAATACATTATACATTTAAAGTAATGGAACATTATATGTTATAAAATCTAAACTATTATTTAGGCTACAGGCTAAATAGAGGCGCCTTTTCGGGGCTGTTCATCGCGTGCGTCAAAGAAAAGACATGACACAATCTCTATAAAAACTTGTTGTTTATTTACAATATCTAAAGGGATATAAAACATCTAACATGCATCTCCATTCTCAACGAGTTTCTGTGTTCTGCATCCTTCACAGACCGAGGTCTCATTCCGAGGTAATCTGTAAATATTCTCATTTGGTTCTGGTACATTCTTGATTAAAGGTGAAACTGACCGGCGCAACGGATGATTTGTCATCTAGGGTGACTACAGTTATAATACAGGTTATGGAACTATTTCACTTTAATTTCATATTATTATTTTATTAAACAAACAAACCAGTTTTTGTTTTGGCTCTGCATGCAGCGTATTGGATCTTTCAAGCATTGCACTTCAAATGTTATTCCTTTTTTTTTTATTGTATTTTTAATATTTTTAATTATACAACACAAAATTGGTTCTAAACAGATACATTTTCCTATAGGCTATGATGAAGTGTATATTTTTGTTCACACAGGTCCTATACAAAACTGTGTGGATGGATGATTTGTTTCTCCGTGAAAATCACTCATTTAATAAGCAAAACAGGCCAAAATGTTGTTTAGCTTGCGTCAAACTGGATGGACAATTTACAAACATATTGAATACAAAGACTGGTTATTTTATGCA